TATATATATATATATATATATATATATGTATGTATATAATATATATATATATATATATGTATATATATATATATATGTATATATATATATATTTATATATATATATAAGTGAGTGTGTGTGTGTGCATCATATGTCTATATATAATTGTATATGTTGTATCTGTGCACCTTTATAACCGTGAATATATGTGTAGTATAGCTAGCTGTATGTTAATATATACGTGTTTGCACGCGCTATGCATTTCCATATTTTTTTTTATAGCTATAGTGCATCGTAGTTGTACATATACTCGAAAGAGATACAATCCATCCTACGCGACATAAGTTTGTATTGAAAATATTTCTGTGAGCAATGTAAATTGTCCTTATTTATTGTTCTCTTTTAATAGTTGTGAATAGAAGCCCCTTGTTTGGAACCTTACTTCCGGTCAAGTGGCTTGATACCCATTAAACTGGTGTCCGTCTCTGTCTCAGCGGCAGCCTGTATTTGTGTTGCAACCTGAGTCTGTGTTGCAACCTGAGTCTGAGTTGCAACCTGAGTCTGCACGGAAGTCTTAACTTCTGTTACGAGTTGTTCTTCCAAGCTGACCTGCTCAACAACTGTTTCCTGGTCTATAAATGTTACTGTCAATTCTTCCGAAACTAAGTTGGTGTCTGTCACATCCACCACTACCTCGTTCTCGACTACAACATCCTGAGTCTCCTGTTCGATGAATGTTACGGTTAATGATTCCTGTTCGATAAAGGACACTGTCAACTCTTCCGAAACTAAGTTAGTGTCTGTCACGTCCACCACTACCTCGTTCTCGACTATAACATCCTGTGTCTCCTGCTCGGTGAATGTTACTGTCAACTCTTCCGAAACCAAGTTTGTGTCTGTTACATCCATCGATACCTCATTCTCTACTACAACATTCTGCGTCTCCTGTTCGATAAAAGTTACTGTCAACTCTTCCGAAACCAAATTTGTGTTTGTTACATCCACCGATACCTCATTCTCTACTACAACATTCTGCGTCTCCTGTTCGATGAATGTTACTGTCAACTCTTCCGAAACCAAGTTTGTGTCTGTTACCTCCGCCGATACCTCATTTGTCACTGTCACCGCTTCCGACACTAAGTTTGTGTTTGTTACATCCACCGACACCTCATTCTCTATTACAACATTCTGAGTCTCCTGTTCAACTAATGTCACTGTCAGCTCTTCCGAAACCAAGTTTGTGTTTGTTACATCCACCGATACCTCGTTCTCTACTACAACATTCTGAATCTCCTCTTCGATCAGTGTCACAGTTAATTCTTCCGTCTCCTGTTCGAACAAGGTGACAGTCAGACTTTCCTGGACGATCTCAGTGTCTGTTATCTCTACATCCACGCTGACAATGTTTTGTTGGGTCGCTACCGGATAGAAAGTAACAGTAACTGTTTCTACCTCTACCTCAACTGTCGCATTGGGGTCGAGTGCGTAGATGGCATTCTGCCAACTCATCTCGGCGGCGAATGCATTGTAGCTATCACCTGGCTGGGTGAAGCCATGCTGGGCATCAGTAAAGTATGTGGTGGACGAATTCAACCAGGACGCAGCTCCGTCTAATTCAGACATGACAGTAGACATTTGATCAGAGCTGACCGCATTCGCATCTGCAGTACCTTGGTTCAGTAGAAGTGTAGACGTGAAGTTGTTCTCGGCCGTAGTGGCTATCATTGAATAATCTGACGACGAAGTGCTACCTGGATGGAAGGCTACCATCAGACTGACGGCTTCCGCCTCAATCGTTGCTGGGTCACTTCGGGCGTACTCCATGACACCACCACCACCTAGACAATACCCAAAGATAGCAACATCTTCATACGGTGCGTTCTCTGTCGATTGCGCAGCCTGGATCGCCGCAGATATGACGCCTCTGTAATTTGTCGCGTTAGATCTCAACGCTCCAGCGAGCCCCCCCTTTTCTTCATTGGTGAGGTTCGCATTCTCACCCTGTACCTGATCCGAACCATACGTGTCGGCAACAAAGGCAGCATTGCCCAACCCAGCCAAACGGACTGCATTAGCTACCTCGAAGCTGCCTACACCGTCCCAGTCGGATAGGATCACTACCACTTTTCCAGTAGTGACTCCATCGGTGGGTGTGACTAGGATACCGTTGGCAGTTGAGCCATCAGGGAGTGTATAAGGAACAGCTTCCTCTGTGAAGTTCTCGACTTGAGCATTGCCAAAGTCCCAGCCCATCTCCTCCGCGAGAGTAAAGGCGCTCGTGATATTGTACGCAGGGGTGGTGGGTACAGGCTGTGATGTGGCAAGCTGCGCCGTCACCAGCAAGGCAGTTGCGAATTGTAGTAGACCCATCATCAGAAGTAATAGTTTTGTTTTGTTCAGACCTCTTGCGGACCTCGTATTTTGAAAAGTGAAGCACTAGTGAAACTTTCGATTTACTTATATGTGTTACAATTCTATCGTTTTGCGTAATAGTAAATTAAAGCTCGTGAATTATTGTGGCTTGTGAGAACTAAGAACTTGTGACAGCAAGTCTTTGGTTCGATGATATCGAAGGTTTTTTCATTTTGATATGTAAACATTCCATATTTTCAGTTCTATTCAAAATATATTGTCATATTAGATCAAGTGAGTCTCAACCACCACTGAACAGGGCTGAAAGTATTCATTGTTCCGTCATCATGCGAATCAATTCTTATGTATTGACCACATATTGAGTTCTAAATACTATCTTTATTTTGAAACTTATTATTTACTCCGGTGAGTAGGTTTCATGTCAATCTACTCTTTCTGAAATGCCTTAGATAGATATGAGTCACATGACTCGTGAGTATGTGAACTGTGTCTGTGAAGGTGTGAACTGTGGACTTTGAAGTGGTGTTTACTGTTTACTGGAATAGTGTATAAAACCCAATGATGACTGAAAAGTGAATACTGATGAATTGAGTATTGAGTCTGGCTGAACCTGTGAGTCTGTGACACAGTGACAGTCAGTATGTACTCCGTAGTCCGTAGTACGCAATTAAGTCGAAAATGTGACCATTGAGTGTCTGAGTCTGACCAGCGTAATCAGTCTATAGTCCCTATACGCACACATATTTGAACATGCTACATATGTACTACATTTTAACATTATACATTCTACAATTTCCTTCCCACATGGCACAATGCTGAACGCACACATGCACATGCTAATTTCACATAATTGTTTTATCTATAATTTGCAACAAAACATAAAACATTAAAGAAATAAAATGTAAATTTCGGTTTAAAACCTAGAAGTATTCATTGAAGGATATAGATCAGCTATTGCTAAATAGGGGCATCTGTCTATCCAAAAAGGAAATATGCGACTCCGATGAGTAAAACAACCCAAATTTAAAAATAAAAAAGTGAACAAATGTTCTTGGGATTTGTTTCTCTCTCTCAGTTTTACTAACGGACGACGGTCTCAGCCTCTCAGTCTCTCAGGACTGTGTCCGCGACGCACGGCGGACCGGATACCGGATCCGGGCCCAGGCCCAGGCCCCAGGGCCTTGGGCTCTCAGTCTCAGGCACTCTCAGCCTCCAGGGCCCAAGGCGGACCACGGGACCAGGCCTTGGCCACTCTTTTCTTGTGTTGTGTGTCGGTGAGGGTCGGAGGGAGAGGGAGAGAGAGACTTCTGAACTCTGAACTGAACTCTGAGACTTATGAGAGTCTGAACTCTGAAGTCTGAACTTTTAAAAAATACAGAAGTCTGAAGGGTGAAGACTATTTTTGTTTTTGTTTTTTTGTTTAAATAAAAACAAATAGACTCCAGTGAGTCCAGTCTCTCTCAGACTCAGACTCTCAGTCCCTCATTGACAGACACTCATCAGTCATCAGTTGTCATCATACTGTCAAAAGCCGAAGGTCCATTGTATGTTTTTTTTCTGAAAAGGAGGCTATGCAACAATGTTAAATTTTCAACAATTTTTTTTTTACTGTGTACTGTATGTATGTATGTACTGTATTTATATTTTATTTTAAAAAATCAACCAAAAACACAATTATTTACACATGATGTATAATACTCTAGGGGACTCAGGACAAAAAATTGAGCAGTGTTTATGTTTTAGGACGCCAACAAAGTTGGAATCTCGAATCTTGGACTCCAACCGCTGACGTCCAAACTAAAAACATTATGATTGGGTGGATTCAATACGGAAATTTATATTGGACGACCATAGCGGCATAGCCCTCTTCTAAATTTATAATTTTAGATCATGACGACACAAATTCAAAATTGAAATAAAACTGTTCCCACTTCCCTCACTGGTCACTGCTCAGTGACTTAAAGTTATTGACTCAGTGTCTCTGACTCTCTGTGGAGAGTGGCATGTACCCAGTCACCAGTGTCCCAGTCCCCTTGCCCACGCCTCTCCTGGGTCCTGACACTCCCCCCCTACTGTGGAGTCACTGGAGTGTGGACTCGTCTACAGACCACAGGTCGTGAACTCCTGTGAGGCTGTGACTCCTGCCTACACCACTTGCTGGTCCACATGTGGACGACTATTAACTGGTGTGGGTCTGTGGGGACTGTGGCCTGTGGGACTCGGAGACTGGAGAGTCGGAGTTGGATTATTTATTTTGAATATTTCGGATGTGAGCGAAGCTCACATTTTTGTTTAAAAATTGCAGGGGGGGGGGGGGAGGAAGGAAAGGAAAGGAAAGGGAAAGAAATGGGGAAAGGACAAGGAGTGCACAAAGCGAGTGTAGGAGCCAAACAGAGAAGGTTTGACTAAATCGGATCCAAATAACCATCTGTGTACAAGTCAACTTTGCGGATGGAAAGTGTCAACAGGTGATCTTACATTAGATCTTCGTATACCAGTGCAACAGCTGATTTTTGAAAATCCAGCTACTCGGGCGAAAGCTCAGGATCTATTTGCTGAGGAAATCCGTAATACTGCTGTACTTAGCGACATAACGAATGTGACACAGCCATCTGGACGTAAAGCACGCATAGGTATTATACCTCACATCAGCAAGAACAGTGCAATGAAAATTTGCACATACGCCCTATGGAAACAGATGCTGAAATTTCAGGGAGAATAAAGAGTTCTTCCAGCTATTTGATGCTTTAAAGTCGCACCAATAACGTTATACATTTTCATTGCATGTCCTATGATTCAATAAATGTCCACATACACCATAGCCGTTGTAGAGGTTCGGGAGAGATCGATGGGAAGAAGTGATCAGTAAATTCCCGTTTGAAACTTGGGCCAAGTGAGTCGACGATGGAGGATATGCGCTGAGTCAATTCGGGCTGGTGCTGACAAAATACTAAAACCATCGAATGCGCCATGTATTTTCTTGCTGATCTACTAAGTAGCGTACCCACCTCTGTGGTACGGATCGGGTCTGCGCCGTGTAGTGACGTAAAATGGGTTGGTGCAGAGTACGAAATATCGAGTAGGACCAGGTTATCCGTCATAATTCGGTCGAAGATCGAGGATGGGTGTGAGTTTATGCCGCACCAGACCACGAATGTATTCGGTATGTGCTGGCTGGCCTGGATCGGAAGTATCATAGGCGGGACCAACAAGCGCGATGATTTGGTTTGAACCGAAATTTGGGAGTAGTACTCTAAGAGCGTAATTAGCCGTGGTATGGGGAACATCTGTTGATATGTCAGAGACGGGTGAGGGTATGGTAGTACTTCTACATGCTGGCGAAAAGATCCAAGGTGTTCGTGGAGGGTCCAGATACCGTGGAAGTCGTGGCACTCCTGTAATTGCTGGAGGAGATCAGGGCCAATGGGCGGCAGTTTTGGGCCTACCAGGATGCAGCCGTATTGGTGTAGGCTCGAGGCAGCGGTTGAAGCTGGCGTGTCTGGCTTTGTCTCGTTTTGAGGTTAGCGGCATACCTATAGCTTCTTAGTAGTAGTATTGGCGCCGAGCCATTGCCGCGATCTCCTTGTTGGACCAGCGTTTGTTGAGTTCTTCCTTATGCATCACAGCGTTGGTGGAGGGCTACATGGTCGGGTGTACGCAAGCTACCACTGCTAAATCCTAACTGACTAAATTGTATTTTGGTTTAATATAGTTTGAAACCTAGTAATTTCCATCGAAGTTTACATATTTTTCAGTTATTTAGTAGTTACAGTAGTGTACTGCTTCTAGACTGTCTAACATCGATTTACTATCCAGAAAATACTATGGCTAAGGGTACTTCTAAAGGCAAGGGAGCCGCTAGCTCTAAGCCTGCTAAGCCTGCCGAGGTTCCTGAGGTCCCTGTGGAAACACCTAGCCTGTCTGGAGTTGAGCCTGCCGAGGAAACTGTTGGGAAAGCCAATTCTGAGGTTGGTACAGAGGATAATTCTGAGGATGACTCGTCGGATCCTAAAGCCTTGGAAGAAGAGGTATCTACTGCCGCGGAAAAGCTCGCCAGCGTCCGTGTATCACCTGGGAGTGAAGTTCAGGGCCCCAGCTTGCCCCCTGACCACGTGCCGTCAAATATTGGGGATAAACGTCGAAAGGCTGGAAATTCGTGGATACGAATGTCGGGGACATTATAACTCCACATCTAAAGGACACTCCAGCACAAATCCGGAGTGAAAAGAAAGTATTGGACCTGTCCGAAAATTTCGGTTTCGCCATCGATGGAGAAGCCATTCCATCCAGCTCAAATCTTGGGGCCGAAGTTGAGGACGCCATAACTCGACAACGAGTGGTTGTATTCTCTCAATCTCGACGCAAATTGAACCGCACTGAAGCGATCTTGAAGGAGCTAGCGGCAGCAGCAGTTGTGGACCCCTCTATCGTGTCCCACGTGGCTGATATTCTTCCTATACCGAAGAAGAAGAAAAAATCCGGGCCGAATTTCGAACCCGAGACCTACTGGTTTACCAGCCAGTACGTCTACCACTAAGCCAGTTACCACTGGTGAGAGAGGTAATATTTCAACATTTAATCTCGATAGCTCTGATGTTACCATTGACCATCCTCTTGACAAACCTAACCCTGTCAGAGGATATGATCGTATGGAACTCGATGAGGCTTACCATCCTCGTAATATCGACCCTCATTTGCCAACTAACCCTGGTAATCACGATTTTGGCAATCGCTACACCAGTACCTCGTTAGAGAGTTCCCGCTCTAATCCTGAGGATGAGGAAGTGAGAACCAGACATACTCGTCTCAGGCTATTACGCTCT